CCAAAACTATAACAAGGTTTAAAAAATTACATAAGATCATAGAAGAGAGGTCAGTCAATGGTTAACAACCAGGGTGGTTAAGCCTCTGACTGCCAGGTTCTTAGGTCCCTGTAAACATGTAGGACAATGTAGCACTTTAAAGACTAACAAGATGGTTTATTAGATGATGAGCTTTCGTGGGCCAGACCCACTTCCTCAGATCAAAATGAGTGCTACATTGTCCTGCATTTTGCTTCAGCTACCCCAGACTAACAGGGCTACATTTCTATCACTATGTAAACATGTAGATATTCACGGGTGTCAGCATCCTCAGCACAGATATCAGTGGCTCATTTTGCCAGATACAAATACAAACTTTGTATCCTCACAGGACTGTAGTTATTTGGTCTACATGCCTGTTCTCAGGGCTCTACAGATGTTGGAACTGGATGTTAGGGAATTGCTCCGTTAACAAGTGCCATGTTCTTTATTCCTTCTGAAGCATCTGGCATTGTTGGAAGATAATATAATAGGCAGATGAACCATTGGTCTGACTCAGTTTGGCTGTTTTTATGCAAGATAAAGGTTTTATTGGTGTGAGTTTGGAATGAGTGTTACCCATGAGGAGTTGTGAAGCTTTTCATAGTATAATCTCTCCCACAATTTTAATTTTATTTATTTACCCCCCCCCCCCCCCCAAATTGTTGTCTGTTTTGGGGTATTCTGATACCTGCTTAGAAGACCTCAAAATAAAATTTTAATAAATTAAACTTCACCCTATCACTCCCCCTGTGGATTTAGGTTGGAAAGGCCTCTTTTGTATTTATTACAGGCTTTTTAAATAGTCATTGTAGTAAATGGTTTCATCTAGAACTTTCTGCTTTCACTCACATGTAAATGTCAGTAAACAATCTCATTTTAGCCTGACGTTTTCCATGCTTGATCTTGGCCCAAAATGATTTTTTCTAGACTAATAATGCAACTAGGTCTAGCCTAGGACAGTGTTTCTCAACCTTTTTTTATAAAGTACCCCCTTTCCAAAAAAAAAAATTATAAATATCCCTAGTACCTACAGTTTTCAGACACATTTTTTTTCTTCTATTGCAATATGTTTGTTTAAACAACTCAATCATAGCCTGGTGGGCAATGAAATTTTTGGGTGTAAAAAGTACAAAAATAATAGTGCTGTAAAACTTTTAAAAAAATTCAGTTTTCTCCAAATGTTAGTTGCGTTGACGTATCACCCCTAAGGGTACTCATATCACTGGTTGAGAAACACTGGCCTAGGATATACAGGTAGGTGGTGATAGGTAGCTAGATCTAATTAAAGTTTTAGAAGATGTAACATCCCAACTTTGATTCCTAGGCTAGACAAGGTCTGTTTTTGAGAGGTCTTATGTTTTGAGAGGATGGGCAGTTTGCTTGTGTAGTTAGGGCTGAGGCAGAACATAAGGGTTTTATTTCTGACTGTGACTGGAGTCCCTGTGATGCTTTAAGCAAGGCACTTCATCTGACTCCTCTGTAAAGTGGGGATAATACTTGCTTTCCTATATAAAGCACTTTGAAATCTATGGATAGAAAGCAGAGCTGTATGTCTTTACTAGCAGTAATAGCAGCTTGGCCAGCGTAAAGGTATAAACTGGTGCCTGCTTACCTCTGGAGTAAGACTCTTGCTGCTTTTTCTTATCTTTAAAAGAAAAAGATATAAACATGAAATAACTACCATGAATGCAAATTTTAGGTCTCATTGTAGGAACTGTAAGCAAGGCAATGCAAAAGATAAAGCTTCCCTCTCCCCCGCTTCTCCAAGCAGCACCAACAGCCAATGTCCTAATATTTTGTTTCTCTTCTTTTAAAAGAGAATATGATTTAAAAAAAACCAGGAGAAGAAAATTGATTAAATAGGCTTTTTTAATATAGGGACTCTTTGGTTATCTAGCACGATAGACCCCAGATTCCTCATTGGACTGTCTGGAAATGATGTTTAACCAGTTAGCCAATTAAAGGGAAGATGGGTGGGGGATGCTTCAGCTGGACTGAGCTGGAGCACCCTTCCTCCCTGTTGCTGCAGGCAGGGCCTCTCTCGGCCAGCCTTATCCCAGGTAGGGCTCCGTATGCTGCAGGTAGGGGCTGCTCTCATAGTCTGAAATAACTCCTGACTTCAGCACACCTGAGCCCACGGTGGACAGGGCTGCTCCAGACAACCCAAGCAGCTCCTGTCCACGGGTGCCCCCCCCCCCAGGACTCAAGCAGACCCCTGCCTGTGGCATGCAAAGAGCTGCACCAGTCCTCACTGGTGAACAGGGAAAATATCACCTGTTAGGATGATATTTACTGATTAACCTTTCACATCCCTAGTCTGGAGGCTACCTCAGTACAAATAAAATATTTCATATGAACAGTGTAACCAGGTTAATGTTACTATGGGATTCTTAATATTTGCATTTCTTCACTGATTTTGAGCTATATAGTCCTACAGTTGCATTCTATGGAACACCATTTGAGAAACACTGGTGTAGTTGATACAATTTGTATCAACTACACAATTAGTCAGTAAGAGGAGGCGTTTTGCAGAGCTTCAATGGGGATTGCTCTTGGAACTGGCATGAACTGGGACTTAGCAGTCCTGGCTCGTGGCAATTGCAGACTGCTACGGCTCTGCATTTTTAAATATAGTAAGAGCCACCAGGCTCTTACTACATTTAAAGCACAGAGCTGCAGCACGGCTGGCACAAGCAAGGACTGAGCAGCAGCTCCGCCTCCCCTAACCCCACTCAGATCCCGGGGGGGGGAGGGGGAATGAGCCAGTAGTTGAGTACATCCCTATGTCGAGGCCCTTCATTTTCAGGTTTTTTTTTTTTTTTTTTTGTTCAGAGTTTCTCAGCTTTTATTATAAAGATTTTCAAATGTCTGAAGATCCATGGAAAAAAAACAAACTTCACTTTTTTGGGGTAATATCAACATTAGTATTAGGGGATGCAAGGACAGAAAGAAGCAATAAACAGAGAAAAGTAAAGAGTATTAAAAGTAAAAGCAGTTTAATGCTGTGGTGTATTTTAGGAATTGCCCATTAACAGTAAGTACACACATGCACCCGTGTGTGTTTGCATATCTTCTACTTTGTTTTACAATAACAAACAGCCTTGTATTAGTACTTAAACTAATTTATTAACAACAGCCTACAACTAATGTACTGGATTTTCTTAACAGTAATTTCATGTACTTGAGTGGCCCACATTGTGGGTGAATTTTGGTAAAAACAAATTGCTTTTGTAAAACCTGGGTATTTTTTTTGGGTAAAATTGAAAATAAAGGGTTTTACGTTTCATGGGTGACCTTCCCTGCAGAGAGGTGCCATCTGGAATGCCTTTCAGGTCCCAGCAGCATTTCTCCTAGCTGGAAACCAGAGGTTGTTTTAGAGAGGGAAGTGATGAGCTCCTTGTGAGTTCTGGGCTAGATTGGCTGTGTGGTGTGTGCCAATGGATTGACATGTTTAAAAACACTATGTAAATTTCCTGTCCCAGCCATTTTTAGGTTGTGATGATGAATTTAAAAATGGGAAAGGATCAATTATGTGACTGTCTTCTCTATTTCAATGAAATTATCAATTCACATTCCAGTGGAAAGGAGGGGGCTGAGCTCCTGCTCTGACCAGTGCATCTCTGTTCAGAAGTGGAAGAGATAGGAAGAAATTTAACAGGCATTTCACAAGTTACAAAGGCACAGTATGGTGGAAAGAGCACATTATTGGGGTTTAATTTATTTCAGTAAGTTGTAGATTTATACTAACTTAACCAAGGGCAGACTGAAAAATTGAGAGGGTCCATAATAGGGTACAAGGCCTTTCATCTGTAGACTGTTTGGGGTGTGTTATTGCGATAGTAATTACAATAAGCTCCTGCCTTATTTTATTTGTGCTACCGTAGCGCTCAGAGCCCTTATCATGGACTGGGACCCCATTGTTCTAGGTGCTGTACAAATACAGGGACCATCTTTTTGTGCTATCCCAGAGAGCTTATTAATTATCTAAGTTATTGCTTGGTGATCTATGTTGGGGTTTGTCTAATTTGCACTGAGAGAGATGACCACACAATGCAGACCACTTCTGTATTTGGCAAAATGCAAATTATGGAATTGGGCACGGAGAACTCCCCTCTTCTCCCCATTAAGCTGATCTCTCCATGGCAAAGGTGAACCATTGAGAAACTTGTAATGCCTGTACTGTTGTGTTCCAGGGGCTTAAATAGAAACTGCAGTGATTAGCTGTGGCAATGGAAATAAGTAGGGAAATGTTGTGAAATCATTACAAATGTTTTCTTTCGCATGGTGAATGTGCATTCTTTACAAAGAATAGAGTAAATCGTGTGTTCCTTGCCTTGTAGCTGTGATAGTCTGAGTGAGATACAGGGTAGCAGTTCAGACAAGAGGTGGAGACACTTGTGAGGAGAAAAGCACAGCAGGAAAGATTTTTCAGATGAATGGATTTTAAGGATAGATAGGGCTCCTGGCAGACCAGAAGAATGAACCTGTTAAGGTATGTGGAGGAAGCAGAGTGGAAGATCCCAAGTAGGGATATTAAAGACTAGTTGACTATCTGATAAGTATTTGCTTTTTGGCTAGTCTGTTGACGAGTCGATTCCTCCCCCTCTCCCCCATACTGTCTCTGAGAGGCAGCAAAGGGGGGGAAGGGGTACTTCAAAGTGGCAGTGCTGTACAGGGGCTTTGAAATCCCAAGGTGGCATTTCAAAGGGGCAGCCACTGCACAGCTGATCCGTGGATCAGCTGTGTGGTGGCTGCCCCTTTAAAATGCCACCTCTGTTTTTCAAAGGGGCAGCTGTAGAGCCCAGGGCCAGCTGGGGACTCCCCAGCTGACCCTGGGCTCCATGGCTGCCTCTTTGAAATGCTTCTTCTGCTGATCCTGGGCTTCGTGGCTTTGAAATGCACAAGAGCCCCCACTGGGGACTCTTGTACATTTCAAAGGAGGAATGCGGAAGTGCCTGTCAACTAGTCAGTTAACCACATTTTAACATCCTAATCCCAAGGTGGAAGGAGAACTTTAGGTGGAGCTATAAGGAGTAAGTGGGTGTGAGAAGAGGACGAAATTGGAATAGGTGAGATCATGTCTTGCAGATGAGAAGAGGGAGCTCGAATTTTGAGGTGGAGAAGAGAATGAAAAGTGGAAGTGTTTGGAGTAGCCTAAAAAGAGAGAGATGAGAGGTAAGAGGAAAAAGATCCCAGAAATGGAGATGCGAGATGAATGAGACATGGCAAAAGGTGTGGGCATTGGGGTTAATGAGGAAAGGGCAGATTCTGGAGATACCAGAGAGAAAGAAACAGAATATAGAGCAGTGATCACCAACCAGTCGATCGGGATCTACTGGTAGATCTCAGAGCCTCTGACAAGTGATCCTGACTGGTTTGGCCAAGAGACTATCAAGTGCCAGCACTTCAGCTGCGCCTCCTCCCACTGCTGCACATCTCTGGCCATTTGCCTTGGAGCTGTTCTCCCAGGAGCTTCCTGTGCTGGGCAGGGAAGGGAGAGGAGGGTCCTGTCAAGGTGCTGCCTTCTCCCACCTTGTACCCTATCTCTGCAGAGCAGAGATGGGGCACAACAGGATTAGGTATGGAGGAAGTTTGTTGGTTGCTTTTGGGAGTGGTGCAGGGCCAAGGCAGGGGTGAACCTGCCTTATCCCCACTACACCATCACCCAGGAGCCAACTGAGGTAAGCAGTGCTCAACTGGAGTCCACATCCTGAACCCTTACCCAAGTCATGAACTGCCTGCTATACCTCAAGCCCCTGCCCTAGCCCTGAGCCCCCATGCATCTAAACACCCTCTCAGAGCCTGCACCTAGAAGCCCCTCCTGCATCCCAACTGCCTGCCCCGAACTCAGATCAGAGCCCCTCACACTCTAAATCCCTTAGCCTAAGACCAGAACCTGCACCCCAACCCCCTTTCCCACCCTGGTGAAAGTGAGTGAGGATGGGGGAGGGAGTGAGCAGTGGCGAGGCCTCAAAGGGAGGTGGGGCAAGGAGCACAAAGGAGGTGGGGCAAGGATATTTGGGTTTGAGGTAGATCTTGGCTTGCACTTAAATTCAAAAAGTGATCTCGTGCTTAAAAAGGTTGGAGACCACTGATATAGAGTGTACCTACCCGGGTGTGGTGGGAAGAGATGAAGATATTGCTGAGGTGGTGAGCTGGTGAAACTGATAGTGGAGCTGTCAATGAGTCTAGAAGAGGGAGGCAGTGGAGACTGATTGGAAGGGAAGATGCATTGCTAAGTGATAGAATTAGATGAGGAGGTAAGAGCAGCTGGAGATGAGTGGGAAAAGCAGAACAGTGATTACTCTGCTGTGGAAAGGGGGATAGGCCTATGCTGAAGACTTTAAAAACAAAATCAGCCCCCAAAGTATGATAGAACACTTATTTATATGCATCTTCAAAATTTGCAACCTTATTTTAGTGTTGGTTGTCCTGTTACAGTAGGTAAGCACTAGGGACGTTCAGTTTAGTTTAATCAACTAATTGAGTAGTTGATGGATTTTCTGTTGGTAAGCAGGGGAGCTGCATCTAATTGAGTAGTTGATGGATTTTCTGTCGGTAAGCAGGGGAGCTGCAGCAGGGTTAACTCCTGGGGCCGGGAGCTAACTGTTCAGGGCTGAAGCGCAGCGAGGGGGGGGATCCCTGTGCAAGCTGGGAAAGCTGAGTCCCAACTTGCACTGGGTTCCCTCCTCCCCACGCCCACCCGCTGTGCTTCTGACTTTTAAATGTATTAAGAGCCAGTAGGCTCTAATATATTTAAAAAGCAGAGGTGCAGTGTCTGGGACTGGTTGTGAGCTAGGAATCATCTGATTCCCGGCTCGTGCCTGGTCCCCACTACCCTTCTGCCTCCCCCGCCCCCTGCAGAAATGGTGCTAGGAGGAACCTGCTTTTAAGCTGGCTCCCCCCAGCACTGGCTCCTGCTCCCACCCCTTGCTGCCTGTGATGGAGGCATCTGGGGGGAGGGGGGGGGAGCAACTAGTCAAGGGACTAGTCGACTATCTGATAAGCTTTTGCTTATCGGATAGTAGACTACTAGTCGCTTACATCCCTAGTAAGTACATTAACTGAATGCTTCCGCTAAGGCAATTAGCGCCATAGTTTACAGTGTTGGCATTGCTGTCCTAAATAAACTTCAGAGTTAACACGCCATTAAGATGATTGTAGGTTAGCTCATACTAGAGCTAATGTCTCTACACATTCTGTAGCAAAGCAGAACAGTGATCATCTTTGTAAAGCTTTCTCTATCCCTTTGTTTTAGGTTCTCCTCACTTGTGGGGAAACTGAGTGCCTATCTCTGTTGCTGCTTAGAATTTCCCTTAGAAACAGCAGTGTGAAATTGACAGTATGCTTCTTCCCATGAAGTTCTTCATAGTAGCTGTGAAAATGACCAGTCTTGTCAGTTAGCACTCTGCTGCTACTTGGAATAGTCAATAGCAATAGAGTGAAATTGGAGCTGGCTGCACACTCAGAAAGCAGTCTTAGAGTCACATTAGGAAAGGTTCCCTTTCAATCATGTAGGCTAGCAACTTGCATATTAAAAATGTAAGATTAGATTCTGCAAAAAACAAAAGCTAAAGCCCTCCTCACTTGGAAAGGTATCTTACTCTGCTTTGGCAATTGAATGAGTAGATATTTAAAATCTTGTTTTATTGCTTAACTGATTTAGTCTGTATTATAATTAGCTGGTAATTAGAGATTTTCTTTAATGTTATACTGTAGTTCTTTCAAGCTCCAAGAATATCAGTCTGGCATATTTAAAATTTACCTACAAAAAATTCACCACTAAAATTTACCTAAAATGTGAGTTTGAGAGATGTGATAGACATGGAAAAATTAAAGTAGAAAAATTAGAACCGTTATTACTGCATAGCTCCTCCTCAGCTGCGCAGCTTCCCATTCATTCCCACACAGGGCAGTGATGGGGAAAGATCTCTCCCCAAGCCCTGACATGGCCATGGTCTGGGGGTCAGGATCCCCTTCCTGCTGGCCCTAGCACCGAGCTGCCCTGTACTGGTGGACAGGAGCCTCTCCCCACCAGCCCAAACAGGAAGCTGCCCAGGTAAGCCTGAGCCCAACCTCCTACCCCACCTGAGGATCCCCCAGTCCTGAGCACTCTCCTGCACCCCATAGCCCTCATCACTGACTACCCCAAAGCCTGCACCCCAAGCCCTAAACCCCTCCCCAAACCTGGAGCCCCCTTGTACCCAAAAGCCCTCATGTCCATCTTACCCCAGACCTGCTTTCTAACCTTCTGTCTCAGCCCTGAGCCCCTCAATCCCACTCTAGAGCCCACACTCTCAGATGGAGCCATCATACTCCTGTACCCCAACCCTCTGTCGCAGGCCTGATTCCACTCCCACACTCAGAAGGTCTTGGCCCCACTCCTGCAACATGAATTTTGTGACCTCAACAAGAAAATTCATTCCACTCAGTGGAAAAATTGAAGGGAATTCTGTATTACAGCTCTGTGTTTTTCTACCTAATGTAGTAATATAAGCTTCATGATAAAACATGGAACCAGTGGAATAAATGTGTTGCAAATAAAGTTGGAACTGAGCAGAGTTGCTATAGCAATAATCAATGAAATATAATCTGTGCCCAGATTGTTCTTGACCTGTGATGGCTTCACTGGCTCTCAACTTGTGCCGTGGCAACCTCCTGACTTTTATTTCCAGAGAGAAACTTATTTTCTCCCCATTTTATATGGGAGGAGGAGTTTGACTCTCTCACTCAAGTTGAATTATAGTCAGATCTCCTCTTCCTATGCCTAATTAGGGCTTCCTGGTGAGATGTGCTTTTCTTGATTTTAAGGCAGCCAAGTGTAAATGTATTCAGCAGTTGATAGGGTTGGGTTTTTCTGTGAGCATCTCTTGCCCACTTTTAGAGCTGGTAAGATCCTGTAGGTATTGCTTTCCCTTTTCTTTCCTGCCTTCTCAGCAAAGGACCCAAACTTATGATTATATGTCCCCTTCATTCCATGGGACCAGGACCATAGCCGGGGCTAGAAGTTCTTTAGTTGTAATAGTCTAGAAAAAACATGATCATAGAACAAGGAGCCAGAATGTCTTGAGTTCTAATCTCTGCTCTCTCATGAACTGCTGTGGTTTGGGACAAGTTTTCATCTTCAGTATTCTTCACAATAAAAGTAGGGTAATACAGGCAGTCCCCGACTTACGCGGATTTGACTTACGTCGGATCCGCACTTACGAATGGGGCTTTCTCGCCCCAGAGCTCGCAAGCTGCTCTGGTGCCCCTGGTCTGCTGGAGACCGTCTCCAGCAGACCAGGGGCACCGGGCGGGTTCCTGCGCTTCTGAGGCTTTGCCAGAGCAAAGCCTCAGAAGCGCGGGAACCGCCGCTGCTGCCGCTTGAGACCGGGTGCCTGTGGTCTGCAAAGCCTCAGAAGCGCGGGAACCCGCCCCCGGCCCCCCAC